TTTTGCTAAGGGTATCTTGGAGATAGTACTTCACCTACACTCAAAGACAACAAACCAACCAAGAACAAGAAGGAGGCCAAAGGAATAAAAACTGAAAAAGCTCAATTAAAAAGCTAAACTCAAAGAGAGATTAATGAGACAAACATAAGAATTTCAAGGAAGACAAGAAAAAATTAAGACACATTAAAAAGGCTAGCACTCAAAAGAGAAAATCCTAGAATGGCACTAGAATGGAATAAGTCTTTAAAGGTTTTGCAATTGTAAACTTAAGTCCTTTTTGGTAAAGGTCTAGCCACGGTTTTGTGTCTCAAACAGGGTCCAATAAGGTCCAAAAATTCATTCCTAAGTCCAACTCCAATGTGCAAGGATAATTAGGCCAATGTCCACAAGTCTAGCAACAAGTCCTTTTTTTTTTCTTTTTTGTTGGCAGCAGCAATTTTTGTTATTCTGTTCAATTTTTTTACATGTATGGTTGTGTTCTTTGGTAGTCAGCAAAATCATTGCCCGACTAAATGCTAATCAACAAACAAATCATAGTTTTGGTGCTGCTGATACTCATACACCATCAGTGGTCAGCAGGATGAAGATTGAATTTTGATGTTTACTTTTTAGTTACTCAGTACTTTAATTACTTTAGGCTTTAGCTTTAGATGATTTAAAGCTTTGAGCACGTTGTCTCCTTGACTTTTAATTATGTTTTGTTTAAGCACTATGAACTTTTATTATTAAAAATTATTAATACATGGATTTTGAGTTATTTTTCTGTTTTTTAACTTATATATCTATACATACGTTATTAATTATTTAATATATATAAATATAATATTAGAATAGTGGTCATCCCACTGTTTGCAATCGTGCTATCCCACTTTTGAGGTTGACCACTCCACTCTGTTATCCGGGATTGACATCTATGAACCTTTTGAAGATTCTAATATTGATTCCATTGTGTTTGTAGGACTTTGTCATAACCATTTTGTCTACTGGGCATGGACTGGCTGTTTATGCCCACTGTTAGTGTCTGTGAACAATGTTTAGCAGGCCAAGGGGTGCCAGTGCTTTTAGTATATTCAAATGGAAACATCCAGGGGCGTCATCTCTGACAACAGGTTTACTTCACGAAGATCCGCCGGAGATTGAATTGTCTGATTATGGAAAGATCCCCAGTCCAGGAAGTGAGAGCCCTTCAGGGCTTCTTAATGGTGAAAGCCTAAATGTAGAACCAATTGCCGATTTGGATCTCTTCTTTGAAAGGCTTTACAGCTACTACTGTGAGAAAGGGCTATGGTGCATCATTATTAAGTGGATTGTTGAACTTCTAAGTCTGGGGTTCACTATATGTTTTTCTGGATTTTTTTTACTATATGTAGATTGGAATGGGCTCCGTAATGCAAAGTGTGGGATGGATGCGGTTGAATCCGGAATTAAGCCCTGTGATCTTGCTAAAGAAGCTCTTCATCAACACCCTTTAACCCCACTAACACTTACCAAAGCTATTATTGTTGGATACTTGGGAATATTTTCTATCTATTGGATTTTTTGCTTCTTGAGATTCTTTGCTCAACTAAAGGATATTCTGGAAATTAGGCATTTTTACTATAACAGGTGAGTATGAATGATAAACAGTTAAATTGCAATGAAACAAATGGTTAATTGTTTTTGCCATATCTTACCATGGTTGTCTTGCAGTCTCCATGTTACTGACAATGAGATTCAAACCATGCCCTGGGCTACAATTCTTGAAAAAGTTGTTCTGGTACAAAGGTCTCAACAACTTTGTGTGGTAAAAGATCTTTCTGCTCACGACATTGTCATGCGGTTGATGCGGAAGGAGAACTACTTAATTGGAATGCTCAACAAAGGTGTACTAGCTTTCCCTATTTCACAGTGGTTTCCAGGTGCTGGTCCAACAGTGAAATCTAGTTCTAATGGAACACAGAATCGTTTAATACTAACCAAGACCCTTGAGTGGACTTTGAATTGGTGCATCCTGCAGAGCATGTTTGATCGGTAAGTTAATTATTAGACAAATGCCTGTTGTTTTACAATCACAGAGTTCTATCATTTGATCTTTTAATTCATTCATAATGTGCACAAGTTTATCTTCTATGGTAATCATCAAATTTTCGGTTTAGGCTATTTTCAGGAAATCATTTGTTGGTTCGAATGATGCAATGACCTTTTAAATGTAGGATGGTACCTTGTAGAAGGTTACAATTTATATCTAGATATTTGGTGGTAACCTGTTAAGCAGTTCATATGACATGACAATGTGATTATACTATACTTTTTCCAATATTTATATTTATATTTATATTCTCAGAACTCAAATGTGCTGCAGAAACTTTTGTGTCAGAAGGGATTTTGTGTCAAATCCAAAGACATTACAAAAAAGGCTTATGGTAGTTGGGCTTGCAATGCTTCTACTCTCTCCATTTCTTGTCATATTCATGGTGGTATATCTCTTTTTGAGGCATGCTGAGCAATTCTATAATCATCCTAGCACGGCATCATCTCGAAGATGGTCAAATTTGTCTAGGTGGATCTTTAGGGAATTCAATGAGGTATTGTTTTTCTTGATTTTTTATGTTCTGCTCTTCTGCTGCTCTCATGGTGATAATATATAATAAGGACCACAAACACTTTGATGTCATATCAAAGACCAATTCTCCTAGACATTTGAGTTGTTTCATGGAAAGCCCTTGAAAGGTTGTATATTTAATGCATGTATTTCCTTTTAGTATCTGAAAAAGTTTCATCATGGAAGAAAGATTTTAACTTGCAAACAATTATTTATGAAAATTCTTATTAAAAATGATAAGAGGAAATTACAAGAAAGGAATTCTTGATAAAAATATTTCTAGTTTAGGAACAATCGATTGTTTAACTGGTTAATGATGTTTGCATAGTGGTTTATGAATGACCACTTAATTGACTTAATTATCCAATAACCAGTCTAATTGTTTATTATTCCTACTTCTCAAACTGTAAAATCTTTCCCAGAAATCCTTTTTGTAACTTTTTTGGAAAGATGATAGATATTATTCTAGCCAATAGTCATTACTAGCTTGCTCGTCCTTACATATTTCTTTGAATCAGGTCTCTAATTATTAAATGTAGATGAGTGAAAGGAATTTCTAGTTTCTTTAATTGAATTATATTGCTTTTTTTTTTTTTGGTAATTATTATATTGCTTGTTTAACACAACTTATTTGAAGAAAACCTATATATTATTATATAGTAGTAATCTAAGTTGTGAAAGTTACTGGAGATTGAGTTTGTTGTTGTATATGTGTTTTCTTGTTCTCTTTGTGACAAAGGCATTAATTGGTCAAAAGTGGTATTTAGTTTTATCTGTTAATAGTTTGAAACTGATGCTGCCTAGTTATCTTTATTAACATAATCACTTGTATCCTTTTACTTTTATGCTAGAGCTTATTAATAAACTTGTGTCATAGGTGGACCATCTCTTCAAGCACCGGATTAATAGCAGTGTATTGCATGCATCTGATTATGTCAAGCAATTTCCTTCACCCATCATATCTATCATTGCAAAATTCATCTCTTTTGTATCGGGTGGCTTCGCTGCAATTCTGATCATCATTGCTTTTCTCGAGGAGTCTCTACTAGAGGGCCATGTAATGGATTTTTGTTAATTTTGCATAAGTTATACATTATGTCATGGCAGTCACTAAGGATTTTTCTTTTTTCAAATGAAACATATTGCAGATATTTGGTCGGAACTTGTTTTGGTATGGTGCTGTTTTTGGAGCTATAACTGCCATTAGCCGGGCTGCTATTACAAATGAGCTTCTGGTCTTAGATGCTGAGGGAGCAATGTCTATGGTGGTTCAGCATACACATTATATGCCAAAGAGATGGCGTGGCAAAGAAAGTATTGAAATGGTCCGTGTTGAGTTTGAAACCTTATTTCAGGTACTCTACATGAGGCGTTTGTTTAAAGCATTCACATTTAGATAGATCAACCCTTATCTGTTCTCTGTTTTCGTGATAGCATAGGTTTGAACATAACTTTTGATGCTCTTGTATTTTTTAATGGTGCAGTATACTGGAATGATGTTACTAGAGGAAATGGCCTCAATTTTCCTCACTCCGTACTTACTTCTGTTTGTTGTCCCAAAGGTCATTTCTGTGCTTGGAGATAAGATAACTTTCTTTATATGCCATCTGGTATAATGAATTAACTATTTGGTGTTTTCATTTTGCAGCGGGTTGATGATATCTTGCAGTTCATTGCTGATTTCACTATAAATGTTGAGGGTGTTGGCCATGTTTGCAGGTTAGTGTGGATTTTTCATTTTCATCTATATAAACTGGTATCCCTCACCTCTGGCCATTCTTTGGGGCTTCAACAGTTTAATTAATTAATTTATTTTTGAGTTCGAAGTTTTCATGTGTTACTGGCAGAACATATTGATTATATTGTTATGTCTATGATGCTTTCACAGTTTTAGCGCCTTTGATTTTCAAGAGCATGGAAACAGTCATTATGGTTCCCCTTGCAATGCTCCTTATAGCCGGAGAAGTTCCCAGGGGAAGATGGAGAAATCATTGCTGAGGTATGGTTTTGGCTGGGCTTGCCATAAACACAGCACTGGTCTAATAGAATTTTATTACATTACACTACCTTCATTTCTATTTATAAGACTCAATTACCTAATTCATCATGATTTAAAAAAAGTAGTTAATTTAATTGATAGCTATAAATTTGTCCTATTTATATATATATTTTTTCTCTAAAACTATCCTATATTATTTGTCTTTCCTAATTAATACTCATATCTTTTAACCAATTAGAATGCATATCCTATGTTATTTATCTCTCCTAATTAATACTTATATTTTTCCTAACCAATTAGAGTGCATGTTTTTTAAAGAGTTTATAATTAATACATTTTATCAAATTAAGAGAACACAAATTAATTAAGGGTATTTTAGTCTAAAACAATTAATATATGAGACAATATGAATTGGTCTTATATAAAATAACATACAATTATTCTAAACTGGATCTTATAAATAGGAACGGAGGTTTCATTGATGTTGTTTCAAAGAATCTATTAGGTTCTATCATTTCTCTTTTATTGTTGTCTTTTATCCTGCCTTCAAACTTTGATAGCAGTTGGAATGGGGTAAATGTTTTTTTTTCTTGGTGGGGAAGGAGAGGAAAAGAAATGATTTCATTGGAAAATAGATAGATAGTTAGTTATCTAAGTTCCTTAGCTACAAGAACACAGGAAGGAAGGAAATAGTGCCATTAATTATCCATATATCTAATTTTGCCTTTAAAAATTATTCCCATTGCTTTTCTGATGATTCGGAAACTTTTTTTTTTTCCTTTTCCTCTAAAGTTCAATATACTGAATATAGTCTTTCTCGTCCATTCTTCTGGGACAAATGACAATTAGAGTGTCCAACCAATGGCGTCAACAATTAGATACCACCGCTAAACTTCCTCAATGCTCCAATCTTATATTTGTGTGTTTGAAATTTTATCTTTTGATCTCCAATTCTCCATTTTGTAGTTGACTTGCTTATGCTGTCAATGGTTCTCGTGTGAAATCATGGAAAAAATAAAAAGATGATAATTTTTAGCAGAAAAAGGAGAAAGGAAAAATTATGCTCATTTGGAGCAGAATTAAAATGATGTTTCTAGTTTGATTTTACTCTATAAATAATGCTCCTTAGGAAACTTGAATATTTTTTTTACTGCTTTTGAAATCTTTTACCTCAGGGCAGATGATTTTTTTATTGTTTTGGAACACTGATGTGAAACTGTGACAAGATGATTTTTTGTTGTGTTTAACTTCTGTTGTCATCACAGCTTTCAGAGTAGTTACCCATCTTGGGAACCAAATGCAGAGGGAAAGCAGTTCTTGCTAAATCTTAGAACATTCAGAGAGAGAAAGTTATCGGTGCGTGGGGACATACACGCGGCTTCCCCTCCTAGAATGTGGAGGGTTAGTCCCAATATGGGAAGCAATGGAGACAGAAACAGGTTCATATCCAGGGAAATGTCGTACAGTACTTCTGCAACTGGTAATCACTTGGGTTTGTGGTTGATTGAAGCCAACCAAAGCAATCATCCCTATCTTCTGGATTGGTACTATACATCTCGATCTCATGACGCCAATCTGGGAGATGTTCCTTCCGAACCATTTGGAGTAATAGAGCATCATTCTAGAGAGCATTGGATGCCCTCCACCTTGACACAGACTGCAAGTGGGTATGAGGAATACTCAAACGAGTATCACGAAGGTCGAGCTGCATCTCATCTTGGGACTTCCACATCAGTTCCAATCTTCAGGGAAAGCCTAATTCAGGATCGAATTTATAATGTACTGTCCCATCCTAGCAGGAGTCATTGGTGGGCTAGAAGTAACCCACAGGGTGGACAAACTCAGACAAGCTTTTATGAGCCTCCAGATTTCAATCAGGACACACATAATTATTATGAAAAGTTTTCTGATAAAGGGTCAGAGGATCAAGATCATGAACAGCACTTGTACTCTAGAGATAGTGACAGATTATCTAGAACATACACAGATGACTTAGGGGCAGGGGAATTTAATCTTCATTTTGACGATATATATAGCAGACCTCCAGATACTCCCCCTGCAAGCTTTTGAGTGACAGCTCTGTTCCTCATTATTTATTTCGGAGGTTCTTGCTGTCATGAGCATGAATACATTTCCAGGTCTATTCTTTGTTGTATATAGATTCGTTGTAATGAGGTTAGACAGTTAAATGAGCCTCAGTTGATGTTGGAAGGTCTCGAGATTACCTTAAAGGGGTATGGGATGCCTTCCTTTCTTCTTGTAAGTATATATATATATATATATATATATAAAGAACTCATTCTGTCAAATGTCCTAATAATTCTGACCCAATTTCTGTTTTTTTTTTTCTTTTCAAAAACTTGTTTTTTTTTTCCTTTACTAGTTCTTTGGTTAGATGGAAGTAGAGATGAGGGAAGACAATGTTCTTAACTGGCTGAATTCAAAATTTTGGAGGGTAGAAGACTAAAGTTTTTCCTCACTAAAAATGTGATGAAGACAAATGAAAACAAAACTTGTAAATTTTACCTCAAGTTGATTCCCATCTGGTCATTGTTTGAAGATAGATTAGGTTCCTATGTTGGCTGTCGTTAGAAGTAAAATTTTGCCTTTCAGAAGAGAAGGTACAGATTTTTTGCCTTTAAAGTTTTACTATTATGCCAAGCATTTGAAAGTGTTTTTAAAAAATGTTTTGGTACACAATGATACGAATGTTCTCTCTTTTTTTTGGAAAAATACTTTCAACATACAAAACATTTTTTTTTGGTAAAGATAGGAAAGATTACAAAAATGGTCGCAATGAAGATTGAACTTAGGTCCTCATGCTTTTAACTATCCCAACCCCTTCCCATCCAACAATATACAAAACATTTAAAGTACATTATTTTTATCTCGAATATGTTTTATATTTTATGCAAAATGGTCCTTGCATGTTTATATCAATTAATTGTATTTATGATTAAATTTTGATCTTATCACTATAGCTATTAAACTACCAAGGAATTTTTTTGTGTGTTCATATGTATTTTTTTTTAAATATATCGTTACAACTTAACTAAATTAAAATATTAGAACATATATAAAACATATAACTGTCAGTATTCTTTCTGTTAGGGTTATAACTAATTTCAAATATTTGCTTCATACTATGGATTCTAACGATGTTTAAAATAAAGGAGGACTTTGCAAACTAGGGAAGTGGAAAATGAGAGATTGTTACTATAGGTTGATTGTAATTGGAGTGGTCCACAGTACTATACAGAACGGGTGGAGCTAGCAATTTTATTTTGAGGAGCCCAATACAAAGAGCATTTTACGGATTCAAATACAAATAAAACTGAAAAAATGAAAAATTAAAGAAAAATACTGTAAACGAGAACAATATTATATTAAAGGTTAAAGTTAAAAATATATATATATATATATATAATGTAATAAAATAGTTACATCTTCGGAGAGCCAACATTAACCATTAGTGTGAAAGGTGCCGTTCACATCATGCGCGATTTAAAATTTAGTGCGTTTAGATTGTATACCTTCCCCGTTTCTAGTAAAATTCATGGATTAATTATGAGTCAATTTCGATAAAGTTTTTAATAAATATTTATAGTAAAAGGATAAAAAGTAAAATAAATCATAGTTAAAAATAAGTTACGTATTTCACCATTTTGAAAAACGAGAACTTTTATAAAATAAAATATTTTGTAAATATTTCTTGAAAAAATTATCTAAATAAAAAATGAATCCAATTAAGAATATATTAAAAATAAACGTGTCAATGTTGGTAACACTAGCACACTAGTATTTAAGAAATGTTACTAAGTTATGTGCTTGTCAGTATTTTTTCAAAATATTTTCAATAATTAATAATTCAAATAGTATTAAATAACAACGTAAAATTTTTAAATTTATATTTTCGAAATCAAAACCTTTTATATATATATATATGATAGTCTTACATAATATTTGATTGAAGATGAATAAAAGAAAGGAACAATGTTTTTATAAACCTTTTTTATTTAATTTAATTTTTAGGAGAGGACGGATGACAACAAAATCTCTCTTGATTTAAATTTAACTCCTTTCAAAATTGGAGAGATCTAAAGGAGAAGAAAGAGATTTTAAAAACATAAAGTTATAAAGATAAAAAATAAATTAATTTAAAAAAAAACTCACTTGTAAATTGTGATGGAACAAGAAAAAAATTACCTTCTCATCCAATTTTTTTTTTTAATTTCTCTTTTCCTTTTTCCTCTCCTCCATTAAAATCTTTTTATCTTTTGAATAAAATAAAACCTTAATAAACTGTTAACTGTACGTTATTATCTAATATTTTTTTTTAAACTATAAGTTATTGACTAATTCTTTTTGTGACAGTTTTTTTTCCCCTCTTTCAACAAAGTGTTCTCTGTATGTACGGTCATCAAATCGATGCTTAAGGAACCCGACTTGGTAGTTTCAACTACCAGTCTGTACAAGCTATCCTGAATAGTCTCTACTGTCGGTATCCTTTTTGTCTCAGATATTTTCATATATCATAAGACAAAAGGTGTAGTAAGTAGTAGTAATACCAAGTTGGTATCCTAAGTAGTTAGTGCTGTCTTTTGCACTTGCCTATGTCATCTGCATTTCTCATGCTGTTACTTATAGCTTCTCATTGTGTTGGCCCCTCACATCACAACTCTGCCTTCAATTCAATTCATTCGACACTCAAACAATGGAACCATAGATCATAAGTGCAAGTAATCATTTTCTTTCATTTCTGATTTAACCAATGTAATGACATGCCTCTACAACAACATTCCTTGTGTCAAGAGTGTCAAACTCACTCTATATAGTGTCAGTCCTCACTGTGCATACTCAAATTTAAAGATGTCACCAACAAAACTACAAAGAGAACAAGGGAGGGAAGTTCATTAAAGGAAAAAAAAAAATACATATTAAACCTCATCCTCCTAAAAGAACTACGGTTTTGAAACTCACATTCTAAGACCTATTATTCTGGTGTATTATGGATTGAAAATCCAAGTAAACTTGCCTATCATTTGCTGAATCCATGGAGAAAGATCTTCGAATAGGCTGAACAGAAAACTGCTCATCTTTCTTCCTAACATCAATACACTCATCTCCCATGATGGAAGAATGGTGACACTTTCTTGTATAGTGACTTCTTCTCTCTCCTATTCTTTCCCTTGAGCCACTTTTTTCTTGGTGCATCCGAGGCAGTGTTGTCCCATGTTCTCCCCCAAGTTCAATGACCACAAAATCTTCATTACTGTCCATGCAAGAGAGCAGTTGAGAATCCTGAGGAGAAGAGCTAGGAGCTGCTATGACATGATCCTGTGGACAGTGTTTGTTGCCTGAAACAATGGTTGATCTACAAAGAGGGCATTTAGCATTGGTTTGAAGCCAAACATCAATGCAATGCAAGTGAAAGGCGTGTTTGCATTTTGGCAAAACTTTTAGCATGTCATGTTCTTGAAACTCATTCAAACAAACCACACAGCCACAGACACTTTGATTAATGTTCTCAACCTCTCCTTTAGTGAATTGAAATGTTGGAATTTCTCTGATGGAAGATTCATCGAGTCCATGGTTCCACATGATGGGAGAGAGTGCAATGAAGGGGTCTTGAACCTCATGCTGTGGAGCTCGTAGGGTTAAGATCCATCTGAATGGATGCCAGTTTGAGCAGCATTTGGCGACAAGAGTTAAGTAGGTGATGAGTGTGATAGCAGTGAAAAAGATGGTGAGGAGAATGATGGGTAAAGCAGAAGCAGAAGCAGAAGCAGAATCTGAAGCATAGTGTGGTGTGTGATGGATTAATGTGGGTGAGGGAGCTTGATGTAGAAGCTTGTAAGAGGGGTTGTGGTGGATCAGTGCCATTTGAAACCTTTGAATGAAAGATATGTGGAGAGTAATGTAACAATTGGATGTTGTTTTGTATAGAAATTAGAGGTCATGTATAATTCATGTTTGATTTAGAGAAGCCGTGATGAAAGTGAAATGCAAATTAAATGAATGCATTTGGATTAGTTCTATGTTCTATGGAACAGGCACATGTGATGTGTTGGTCACAACTCACAAGGAAAAGGAACAATGTCAAGAGAACCACGAGGGCTCAGGTTTGACTCATATAAGGACGGTTATTTATTCCTTTTTCTTTTTTTTAATTATTATTTTAATACATGTATATAACTCTGGGGATGCACTTTAGGATTATTAGGTGATTTTAAAATTGTGTTTATTTTTTCCATACACACCGAAGAAATAAGATCTATCTCTTTATAAGCCGTTAAAGTAGCACTTCCACACGTAAAGTATCAGAAATTTACAAAACATTAAAATAAAAAAAACCATAGCCATGAGATTCATTTATGTTTAAGAGTAAGTATCAATAAACTAAGAGTTTTATTTACAATTTATAATTTATTTATTTTTAAAGATAGGAAAAATTATAAAGATGGTCGCAATAATAATTGAACTTAAGTATTCGTGCTTCTAACTATCCAAATCTCTCTCACTATAAAGAAGACATTTTATTAATAACTCATATTTTATATTAAATTTTAATGACTTAATTATTTAAGAGTAAATATTAATAAACTTAGAATTTTATTTATAATTTATATTTTTTTTTTGTAAAGATAGGAAAAATTATAAAGATGATCATAACGAGAATTAATGAACTTAGGTGCTCGTACTTCTAACTACTCAAATCCCTCTCACTACAAAGAAAATATTTTATTAATAACTCATATTTTACATTAAATTTTAATGATTTAATTATTTAACTATAACTTCGTAATATATAAATTAAATCTACAATTTTTTTAAAAATTAAAAAACATATCATATTTTATTATATATTGGGATGACAAAGAAAATTTATAGATAAAGCCTATTATAAATAATAAATGAATAATTAAATGAATAACTATTTAAGAATGTGGTGAAAGTGAGTAGTAAGACATTATATATATATATATAGATATTTATACTTTAAAAATATTAAAAATATTTTTCATTGTATATAAAATAAAATAATTTAATTAATTTTTACTATAAATATATATGTCATAAACACTTATTTTAGAATAAAAATATTTTTTTTAATATAAATACATGTATTTAAAATTATTTATTTTAATTATTTAATTTTTACCTTTTTATTTTAAATTTTGTATTTTAACAAATATTCATGGATACTTATAAATATATGAAAAATTCATTGATAATTGCTAAATGGATACTCGTACTAAATGGGGCAGATAATGTAAACTACTACCAGCTCTTCCTCGTTGTCATCCCTGATTATATAAATTCAAATTAATGATAAATATTTTTATAATTTTTTATTAATTTAAATAATGAAATAAAGTATCAAATAATTTTTTAATTTTTTAGAAATTTGCAAGTGATTAATTTACTTAAAGAGTAAGTCTTAATAAACTTATTTCATTCAATAATTCATGTTTTATATAAAAATTTAATGATACAACTGTTAAATTAAAAGTTTTTAATATATAGATCAAATTTATAAATTTTTTAAAATTGAAAAATTATTTATATTTTATTTCATTAATTCAAATCGATGAATATTAATAAACAATTTATTTTATATGTTGATTTGAATCTATATAACGAATTATACAATAATTTTCAAAAAATTTTAAAAATTTGTAAAATTAATCTATACATTAAAAAAATTTAATTTAACGGTTAGATAATTAAAATTTAATATAAAAAATGAATTATAAAATGAAATAAATTTACCAAAGATTTACTCTTATAATAGATGAATCTCTTCCCTTATATATATATATGATTCATTATTAAGAAGTAATATAATATACTTTTTAGTTGATATAGTATTTAAAAACTCAGAAAATAAAATTATTAATTATAATATAACCAGGTTGGTTATGCTAAATCATAATTAATTAATGAGAATTTCATCACGTATGTTCTATTTTTCATTATTTATGATCAATATACATAGTTAAATATATTCAGATGATTTGCTGATAATTAATCCTCTTTTTAAAATTAATTATGAGAAAATAAAATTTAAAAAATATTTTTTTTAGATATTTTACATTTAATGAAATATTTAATAATTAGTCTTGAAAAATTAAAATAAATAAGCACTTATCTAATTTTTTACACTAAAACGAAAAAAATAAATAATAAAAGATTACAAAGTTTATAAATAAGTTAAAATAGTAATTACATTAACCTTTTATTTTTCTCTATCTTTTAATTTTCCTTAGTCGGTGACATCTTCACACAAAATAATTGTGGATAATTCTAAGGTTTTCTATTTCATTTAGTTGTCACTTTCGACTTTGCCTTTTCCACCGTCCATCATACATAAGTTTCTGACATCCTTGTTTGATTGTCTCCATTGTCTCACGCTCCTCAATTTTCTTGAAATACTTTGTTACAGCAAGCACTGTAATTAAAATTAAGAGGGAATGCATCTTTATTTTGTATGATGCTCGTTTTCTCATTTTAAACGTGTTAACTTTCTGATAAAAAAAATAAAACGTGTTAAATTCAATGTAGTAATATAATACCATGTTTGGGAAGTTGTCTATGCTTTGCCTTTTATGTGTTTTTCTTTTGATCATTTTTTTTGTTTCTTAGATTTCCAACATTTTGTTGATTTCCAAAATCTTTGCTTCCATTGAATTTCATCCAAATAGCGATATTCCTATCAGATTCAGTAAAAAGACCTGCATACCCAAAATCACTTTCAGCAACAGCGTCCCTGTGATTGATCTCAGTGATGCACATGACACGAATGTGATTCAGCTCTCAATTACAATTCAAAAAATTCTCGGGGCTGTTCAACAATTTGTATTCTTTCAGGTTCACTAGCCAATTTTTATTTATTTATTTTTTAAAATTTTGGTCAAACAATGAGATTTTTGAAGCTCAACCAAGTTGATTCTTTACAGATAATTAATGAAACGTTCAGTTGAAATTTTAAGGGAAATTATGTGAGCTGGATGTAGTGATGATGGGGTTTCAGAAAATCTGATGAATAAAACAAAGTTTCTGAAGGGATTTTTACAGCTGAGTAGTGAGTGAGTACAAGCAAAAGTTGTATAAATGAGTGCTTTTTAATTTTTAATTGCTAGCAGCCCAAACTATGATGGTGAAAAGGTTCATATGGTGAGACAGTTTGGGATGCCTACGGTTTTGACCTGAAATCCCAGGTTGCTATTGGTAAGTGATGCACCTTCTTGTGCCAACATAAATACTTGCAAGTGCAATTGTGGCCTAATTCTAATGCATCTTTGTTTCCAAAGAATGTTGAGCCATGTTCTGATGTAGTAATTACTAATTAAGAAGTTAGCGTTTTCAAAGTTTGATCCTTGAAGGCTTAATCTGAAATGAGTTAAGACTTAAAAACTATTGTGACGAATTCAAGTTGTGCAGTATTTTCTCTTTTTTAAATCCATATTTTTGTGTTATTTAAATCCATCATATATGATCATATATATAATATAGTAGTAAGATATGACCCAGTTGCATCATTATATAGGCATAAAATGTCCTTTGCAATTGCAAAATCTGCAATCAATTAACAACAGCCACAATATTGACACCATTGATTAAAAAAAAATACTTACATTGGTTTTATACGTTTTCTGCAACAGACGTCACTAATAATACAAATGAATTCACCACAAGAGACAAGGGATAAATGAAAAAAGGTCACTCTCTGCTACGTTAGTACGTTTTCATATATATTTTTTTAGTTTGACTTTATACTATATGATATCCTTAGAAAAAGGTTTGAGTTGACATGCACAACAAATAATGCAAATCGAGAGGGCCAGTAAGATCAATTCCAAACCTAAAACCATGATGGCTATTGGATAAAGCAAAATGAAGTTCAATGTTTCACCTTAAATAGAATCCTCTTAACCACGTGATGAATTTAATCTAATATTTTCACGTCTCAATCCCCCCCTTAAATTAATATATAATCTTCTCACGAGAATTTTCACTACAGAATTGATCTTGGGACCAGATGGATCATTAGTTTAGAGAAACAAGTGGCAAGGGAAGTACAAATGGTTATTTTTCTATATCCAAATGTCTATTATGTATTGCAAATAATGATTCGATTTGCATTATTAGCATAAACTTGATGCATGCTCCTTCTGACCTCATATTCTGTCCTATTAGAACTAGGATATGAAAAAGGACTTTCTTTATGAATAATTCTATAGACGACAGGCCTTTAGCAGTGATGATCACTATGTGATCCACATACGTTGAACACTAAAACCAATCTCCATCATGGGGTATCTTAAACATTCATAATTTTCTCATCCATTGAACCTATGATAAATTTCCACACATAGCCAAGACTAGCTACATTGTTAGCTCAATATAAAAGGCCAATTCAAGCTAAGAGCGTGACACAATGGAGGACTTAAAGGAAATGGTAAAGGAAGAAGAACCAAAGCAAATAAAGTATAGAGGAGTACGAAGGAGGCCATGGGGAAAGTTTGCAGCAGAGATTAGAGACTCAAGTAGACATGGAAATCGTGTGTGGCTTGGGACATTTAACACTGCTGAGGAGGCTGCAAGAGCTTATGATCGTGCTGCCTTTGAGATGAGAGGTACTTTGGCCATTCTCAACTTCCCAAATGAACACCCTCCATGCAATGTGCCTTCTCTTGGCAAGTCCTCATCATCTAGAACTCAGCATCAAGTTGTAGTGTTTGAGTGTTTGGATGACAAATTGCTAGAGGAACTCCTTGATTGTGATGACAAAATCATCCATGAAAACTTTTGATAAATAGGAAGATATATATATGGTTCAATTTTGTAAATATAAAAAATTATGTAACACTTTTGTTAAATTAAATATTCTAAAATTTAGAATAACGACTTGTATCTTTTAATCAAGTTATTCAGAATTTAAATTCTGATTTTAAATATAAAATAAACTATGTTAAGAGAAAAATATTTATACATTATTATGATTTCTAACAAATATGAGTCATTACTTTTAATTAATAGATGATCAATATCATAATAAAATAAAATAAAATTATTAAATAGTTATACAATTTTTATTCATACATGTATTTTATTTTAGGATTATAAAATTTGAATAATATCACTTCACACAATTGTTAAGCGGGAAAAACGTAGTTTAGTTATCTCGAAAGCAAGGTACAACTTCTAGGTATAAACTAGATTTTTGAGGATGCCTTGAACTTATTCATTCATCATAACTCGAAGGTGGGGTTATTGATAACACTACGAATAGGCCTTCAACTGATCTTCTTCCATTCCCTTTACAAAGCAATACAGGTCCTATGGTTTGATCCCAATCAAGCATTACCTAAGTAGGCCAAGTAGCTAGACAACAAAAAGTGCATCTTTATTATAGAATATTCCACAGATAAGAAAAATAACATGCTTCACTTTATTTATACATCATCTTATAAGACTTGTGACCCTATAATATTAGTAGTGACCTCACTCACCCATTTTTCAAGAATGTTTTTCTGATTTATATTATTTTTCTGTAATTAAATAAAATGTTTTGAAATTACAATATTATTTTACTTTTATTTATAACAATGTTTTATTACAATTATTTATATGAAATATTTTATTACAATTATTTTCTCAGTTCTTTTATTATATTATAAACACCAAAGATAATTTTTCTTATACTGCGTGTTATTTTAAGTATAAACCTTTGTTTATTTTAAGTTTTTTTTCTTCTATTTCTTTATATAATTTTACTATTATTATTATTATTTAAATTATTGATACTAGAGAAAAGAGACACTTCACATCTCTTTATTTAAAATAAAAATTAAATAGTGATAATATAGTAGATGATTACTTGTTGAGTAAAATATTTAGAGAGTAAAATTTAAGATGCGGGAGAGAAGGAAAAAAATTAGATAAAAAAATATTAGAAGAGAAAGAGTGGTGATGAAAATCTACATCTCAAGGATCCTTTTAGAAGAAATAAGTCTAAGAAGGGTGAAGGTTAGAGTTTACAATAGAGAATCATCCTTGAAGGCCATAAAACCTTTGACAAGATCTATGGTTAGGAAGTTAGAGAAAATTAAGAGAGATGTTATGTTTCTTAGACCTTTGCTTATCATAAGTATAAAGTATGTGTTCTTCTCATAGTTGCTTAGTCTTCTATTGTACATACTTTGTATAGTTTATTTTTTATTCCTCTATATGTAGTAGTAAAATGTATATGTTATTTTTTTGATATTGTATTTAGGGTGTATGTTTCTTTGTTTATAGGTCACTGTTGAGAATTCCGTTGAAACACTTTTGTTAATATTTGTAAATTTGTTTAATTCTATCAACGGTCTCAAACACGGCAAGTATACCGGCCGTTCAAGTAGTAAAAATATCGTATCCACAGGGATTAGAAGGTAATATAAGCATTTATTGACTATTCGTGACTAAAGAATAATTCCAATTTCATAGTTTGTGCAGTGAATGCAAAGTTGTGACTATTGGAATGAAAGCTGTAAATAAATATTGTTTTGTGAGTGGAAAAGGTAAGGAATGGTATTGTGGTATTGTGAGGTTGTGGGGGTCAGATTTCACCAAACGTAACACTAATGTATCCTTAATCTCTTGTTGAATTCATTGCTTAGTCAACCCATAAGTTTACTCAAACCTAATCCCTTAGAGAAAGAGCCTAGGTGCGGATATTGAATATCAATCCCTTGAGTACCCAATATCTACACCCGCATTACGGGCTAGGGTTTAAGACTACTAATGGGTCAAGCTCTATCCCTAGATACAATCACCACTAGGCATATGTTTCAGAACTAGTTTCAAAGGTTATTTTCCAATACCCATGGAACCTTAAATCATGCAAAGGGTGATCAATCCAAAGCAAGCATTAAGAATAGAAACAAACACAACAAAGAATAAAACAACATGTATATATATCATTAAAACCGTAAAGATTACAATAGAGTACGTTGGTTACATCTAACCCCACAAAATGGGTGAAACCACTCAACAAAGAGGGCAAATACAAAATAGAGATGGAAGAGGAAGTGAAGAACCGAAGGAAAGATCCGCACACGGACGATCCCAAGCCCTGGGAATCCCTTCCGCAGCTCCTGGAGGCGCCCAATGTGAGAATGGGGGTTTCTCCCCCGAAAATGGCTTCAAATACGAGCTTGGGGAGTCAGATTAGGGTTTCGCGCCCGGCGCATAAGTCTTCGCGCCCGGCGCGGGGCCTTCCAGATACTCTCTGCCTTAGGACAAGCCCGGCGCAATTCACATTACGCCCGGCGCAATGGCTCCCAGAGGTGAGATACTCTGTTTTGCTCGCCTGGCGCGGATCACCTTGCGCCCGGCGCAGAACCTCTTCTCTGCTCCTTAGCTTCTTAGATTTCCAATCCTAAGAGTCTTCAACTTTCCACTCTTCCTCAATACCTGCACAAAAAATGAGGTGGATTAAGGTATTGTTAGATGAATTTGGGTTAGTTATATCTGCACACAAAATGAACCAAAAAGAGAACAATTATATTGCAATGGTTCAAAGGATGAGTGGAATTTGTTCAATAAGTCTCATCCAAAAAGAGGTAAAATTGAGACTTAACAACTCCCCCAAACTTAGAACCTTGCTTGTCCTCAAGCAAAAGGTAATTAATCTAGCAGATAACAAGCAATGCAAGTGAGTCAATTTCTACATCCTAGTTTACTTGTATCTTCTTTTCGCAAGCATGAACCTCAGATGAATTTCCAATCACAATTATTGCAATAGAACATGACAAGGTGCAAACAAAGGTTTCAAAAGAGATCAAAGAGCTGAGAAGAGTAATGACTATCTGTGTATGCATCCTCACTAGGAAAATGTTTCTCTCTATGCACACTAGTGTATCAGGGTGAGTGTTTCTCTCTAGTCTACTACTCACGCCACATAATTCAACTTTGCTCTTCGTTTCCAAATGAAACCAGTGGTAAAACAAATGCAGACACTTATCACAAGGTCTTTATTAGGGCAATCTGGGTCAAGCAGGGTCAAGCGGTAGCAGTTTTATGGTTTTTCAAAGATTGAAGGTGCTATAGCTTAAGAGAGCAAATAAGATTTTACAATGATGTCCCTCTCCATACCCCATTACAACAATTAAGCACATGCCCCTAACCGGATCCAAGCCATTAGCCTTATTGTTTTTGTTTTGCTTTTTGTTTTTTGTTTTTTGTTTTTTTTTTTTTTTTTGTTTTTTTGTAATGGCTGACCACATACTTTCTTCTTCCCAAATTTCCTCATTCTTCAACTCTCCCAAACTTATTTGATGTCATCATTTTGCTCTCTTAACCAAGGCAAAGGTTATGGTTAATTTTCCATGGTTTGGGACAAGTGGAAGGTGTGGTGTTTAGGCTTAGGAAGGTATGGGTCAAGTGGAAAGTGGATATGGCTTTTTGGCTTAGATGATTAACAAAATATGGAAATGTAAATGCCTTGATCATATAAGTGCACAACATAAGCAAACCACCAGGGAAACTCAAGCAAAGTCTATCATGCAACCTAAGCGTAGTTCACTCATAGGTATTTAGGCTCAAACCTCACCCGGCTATGCATCCACAAACTATCAAACTCAGCTCAGTTCTATGATCAACATTGAAACCCGTATGCAACTAGTCATGAACTAAAGATCTAATGTGACTTGAAAATGTCTAAGGTACACACACCATAAACATCAAGCAAACTATAATCCAGAATCGACCACAAGCAAAACAAGTATCAACAAGATTAAAAACCATGCTAAGGCAGACTATTCACAAAAGAACCAACAAAGTAATCATCAAAAAGACTATATATAAAAACAGTTAAATACTGAAAATAAAAGACAGAAGAATAAATTGCAATAGACAAAGGTAAACTAAGGTAGGCTCCATCTGCTTCCATCTATGGGGTCTGGTCATCATCATCTCCAAGAGCTGCTCCACCATCATCAACTCCATCAACCTCAGCAGCTCCACTCCCCCAAACTTAGGAGCCTGGTCCCCAGGCCAACCAGTATACGCCTGAAAGTCCTGGTAACCAGAAGTGATTGCAGAGTGTACTCATGAAAGAACATGGTGAGCACAAAAATTATACACAGTGATGACCAAGCAAATATAGCAAAAATGGAGAATATCCTTAGACCAAAATTAAGCACAACATGCATGCACACGGAAATGAACTATAACAATGCAACATAAAGCACACAAACATACAACATACAACAGAACATAAAGAAACATGATTGAAAACAGATAAATATGGGCTGTCAGGAATGTGGTGCGCCGGGCTTAACACAGATGCGCCGGGCTTAATATCAGTAAAAATCAACGAGGTTTCAAAATCTGATATCGCGCCGGGCGTGCGTTAAACGCGCCCGGCGTGGTGGTTCCAGAGACCAAAAATTGAGTATTAGGCCGGGCGCAAAAGAGTCACGCCCGGCGCGTAGTCACTTTAAAAGGTCAATTTGCCCAGGTTTTAAATTAGGATCAGGCCTTATTTCCACCTAGACACAGAATTGCCTCATTCCTCACATTCCAAACAAAATGTACCCTATATTTACCCATTCAAACATGATTCTAACAACTAACACATAACACAAACAACATATACCACAAAACATATAACACAAAACACAACACATAATACAAAACAACACTTATAACACAGAACAACATGCAACAAAAATCTAAAACACAGTTCAGATCTCTGGGTTGCCTCCCAGGAAGCGCTTGTTTACTGTCCCGAGCCTGACGGTGACCAACTTGAAGTGCTCTACTCTCCTTCTCCTCCTGTTGCTCTTGTTCCTCCTTGCTTTGTGCTCAATCTCATGATTGCTCAACAATTGCTCAGAGGGATTGGTCAATCT